TGAAACCACCACCACAATCAAGATAGCTAACATTTCCATCACTGCCCCAGACCCTCAATTTCGTTCTTTGTAAAATCGGAACAGTAAAGTCTAACACAGAGCCAATCTCAGCGAATGACCCTTGCAATTAACATGAACGTATTACAATGTCAAGAATGAGTCACTTTTCAGAACACCCCTCTCCTGCCTGGAGGGAAGGAGAGAATCATATCTAACATGTGGCATATGTAACAGCAAATATTTCCGGCTGAATTTAGCCATTGTCATCATTTCCATGGCAACTACCTTACTCCGAGAAGAGGGACAAAACACATAAAGATGCTGTAGAAGATTTATAGTCACTTATTCGGGATGATCTTCATAAGTCTCGGGGCTGTGAGGTGAGGTGTTATTTCAAACACATGGTAATAAAAACTTCAATTTGTTATCAAGTCTTTCCCTAGGGAAACCGGTGATTTCTAACTATTTACGAATCTGGCCTCTGTAATCACGCCTACACGACTGTCTTAGAAGGTTCTCAGATGGGTATAAGTAATCTGCCTGAGCCTGCTCGTCAGGTGGATGACAGGAGGGGGAAACTTAGCCAGAAAACACGGTGTGAGGACAAAGGAGATGTCTGGGTTTGGGGAAAGGAAGGCAGGATGGTGGTTCTGGCCATGAGGGCTGGGAGAGGGGGATCAGCCCAGAAAAAGCAACATACCTGGGGAGAGGGTGGAGAGGAGACCGTTTTTCATGTACGTGGTGCAGCTGAATGCTATTCTGATCATAAAAGGAAGGGGTGCACAGCCAGTGTGGATGCACTGTTTGCATCTTATTTATTCAGATGCAGCATTTTTTTTTCCCCTGAAAGAGAGCAATGACTCCTTTCTCCAATAAATCCTTTAGATCAACTTTCTTTTCAAATCTAGTGGTTTTTTATTTCCTCCTTGGAGCGGTAGCTAATTAGGTCTGTTTGTTTACTTATTTATTTATTTAATGGAGCTACTGTTATTGAACCCAGGACCTCCTGCAAGCTAAGCATGTGCTCTACCACTGAGCTACACTCTACCCCACCCCCACCCCCCTGACGCCAGCAGTCTTTTCCGATACAATCTTTCATTGTCTGATGGAAGACAACACAAATCTTTTTCCCAAGTGCCTTTTCTCTGCCTTACAGTATTTTAATCAATCCACAGTTTTATTTTTGAAAACTTCAACCTGTTTTTCAATTAGAACTTATTCAATTATATTAAATATAAGGATGTAAATCCCCTTTGGTTATATATTTTGAAGGATTTCTAAGCACATAATTAGCATTGTATAATTTCACTTCCAACCACGTCAAGAGAAAAAGGAAAGCGATACAATGCTTGAATGCTTTCAGTCTCTAAAACCCAGATACCCTCCATCATTACAAAGCTTACATTCTGTAGAGGAAAATGCCTTTCCAAAAATTGACTTAATGAATAATTTAGTTAAAAATTATCCATTTTATTTACTATAAAGAGATATTCATCTCATGGTAGGAAACTTAGGTCATGATGAATTTATCTAGAGCTATCCAAGACATCTACTCGAACGTAGAGTGAATTCCACCCACCTGACCCCTCTTTTTCAAATAGATGTTAAAGCTGACTCTTGACTCATTGCCAAATACTCCAAGTCGGCTGCCAGCTAGCTGAAGACGGCACGTTTGTCCGCCCCCACCCCAATTCCTGTGTTGAAACCCAGCCCCCAATGTGAGGGCCTCAGGAGGTGGGGCCTTAGGGAAGTGATTGGGTCTTGAGGGCAGCAGGCCTCTTAAGAACGGGACTACTGCCCTCATAAGAGAGGCCCCAGAGGACTCTGGCCCCTTTTACCACGTGAGGACACAGTGGGAAGACGGGCATCTGTGAACCGGAAAACAGGCCCCCAACAGAAACCAGTCTGCTGCTGGCCTTCCGGGCCTCCAGAACTGTGCGTGGTAACTGTCTATTGTTCATAAGCCATGTCGTCCATGGTGTTTTGTTATAATGGCCTGAAAGGACTAAGACAGAATTCTAAAAGACAATCTGCCTAGTGAGGAACTAGCAAGACACCTGTGTTCGGGAGTCTTCTGGAATAAAAGTGCAGCGTGCTCAGTGCTGTGCACTGGTGAGCAGCTAAGTGCAGGGTGGCCTTGAGTTTATGCCAGCAGGTGTACCTGGAAACACTCTGGAAGGTCCCCTGACCAAATACATCTTCCCAAGAGTATACAGTTCTTTTTGAAAATAACGGCATGTAGTATTCATGCAAAGATATAGAACCAAATAGAAAACACAACGTTGTGTTACGTTCATGTCATTGGAGAGCTAATCAATGCTTCCTTTTATCTCCTGGGTATGCATGTGTAACCCTTCCACGTGTAGAACTTGATCTGAAAAATCGGTACGACTTCACAGGTGATGAGAGTTCTCTCAATGGAATCAGACCAAGACATTTTAATGAAAAGGGCTCTAAAGCAATAGACACGTCTAAACGTTCTGAATATTTGTCTATGTATGTACTGAGAACTTTTAACATTTAATGTAGTTTTCATACATCGGGAAGTACTTAATTTTTTTCAATATGATTAAAATCACAGAATTTCGGGGAGGAATCCCTAAACATTACAAATGTTCAAGCAATACTTAACGTGAAAAACCAATGATGCTTTTGAAAACAATCCTGGAACCATTTTTGAGTGAGAGAAGAGGAAAATATTATTTGTCTGTATTTCTTTCAAACGAGAAACAAGGAAGAGCTACAGGAAGATCACTGACACCAGAAACGTCCTTTTTCTTGGTATAATTATTCTCTAGCTCACACAATGTCGCTTTTCAAATTAAAATAGAAGACGTGGGGGAATTTCTTTTAAACACTAAACTGAGCACTGAGGTAGAATAGCAGTGAAACTCCTATAGATCACTTTGGTTTTCAGATGAGTTTCTGTTTTTTGAATTTCTGTTTCGATTTTAGAGACAATTTATTTGAAATGTTTTACAATTTTCAAATACATTTTTCTGTTTCCACACAATCCTTTCGCCTCGGTAAAATTTGAAGTATGTAAACCTCTGCCACACGAAGCATTAATCATTCTCTTGCAACCACTTTCTCAAACCAATTTTGTTGATTTGAAAATATTCATTGTTCATCTTGCTATTCATTATTTATTCATCCACTCTTATTAATAATACATGGGCAGAAATGACAAGCATCCAAGTTAACATTCTTAGGACTGTCTTTTGACATTATCCCGGCAAGGACTTTAGTAAACACATAAAAGCTAAAGCTTAAGGAATAAACTTCAGTGAAAAAGGGCAAGGAAAATGCCACCCTCCTGAAGATAAGTTTACTTATTTTTAGAGCACAAGGCAGTTAAATAACTACTGAGTCAGCCTGGCTTTCAGGCTGTAAACCTCCTATTTTCGCTCCGTATCTTCCCTTCTGTTGAGCTTTAAAACAAAAGCCTTGAAATTTAGCTTTACAAAGCCACCCTCACATCTTGTCCTGCAATTGTCTTTGTGGGGTTGAGTCCTAAATAGATAAACTTAAACCAAATGGTAATTCCCTCATACATTTTTATCGACTTTTTGAGGTACAGACCATTTAAAATGCAATTAGTCCAAAGGAACTGAACATAAACGGATAGCAGTGTAGACTGTGACTCGGTTTCAAGTGAGTAGTTTCCAAGGCTAGTCAAGATAGTCAGGTGAGGCACATTTTACACAGTAAAAGGAAAAGGAAATGGTGGGGGAATTGTGGGGAAAACCTGGGTCTGGGAACAAGGCACCAGGCCTGAGCTTGAGTCTCAGTTCACCTGAGTGTCAGTTTCTTCGCCTAAAGAAGGGGATAGTTAAATCTTTTTTGTATGTGTAAATACACTATTCTATCATAATGACTAGCATGGAATAGGTATTTTAAAATAGTAGCTGATACACTATGGAAAACAGTATGAAGCTTCCTTAAAACATTAAAAATAGATTTACCATATGATCCAGCAATCCCACTCCTGGGCATGTATCTGGAGGAAACTCTAATCTGAAAAAAATACATGCACCCCAATGTTCACAGCAGCACTATTTACAATAGCCAAGGCATGGAAGCAACCGAAATGTCCATCAACAGATGACTGGATAAAGAAACTGTGACATATATATATATATGTATAAATGGAATAAATACTCTCAGCCATAAAAAAGAAATAAATATTGCCATTTGCAGCAACATGGATGGATCTAGAGATTATCATACTAAATCAGTCAGAGAGAGACAAATATCACATGATATCACTTACGTGTGGAATTTAATAAATGATACAAATGAACTTATTTACAGAACAGAAACAGACTCATAGACATAGAAAACGTGTGGTTACCAAAGGGGAAAGGTTGGGGGAGGGACAAATTCGGAGTTTGGGATTAGCAGGTACAAACAAAAGATACATATAAAATAGATAAACAACAAGGATTTACTGTATAACACGGGAAACTATATTCAATATCTTGTATAATGGAAAAGAATCAGAAAAAAAGTATGTGTATAACTGAATCACGTTGCTGTGCACATGAAACTAACACAATATTGTAAATCAACTTCAGTTTAAAAAAATAGTGACTGATACCACTAAGAAGGAAAAACAGAGCAACTTAAATTGCTTTTGCAGCGAAAGCAGTTGTCTTAGTTTCAAATCCATGTTACCAATGCTTCCTAGGCCGCAGCAGCCGGGCAGGGACCAGTCGAGGCATGACTACTTGGAAGCAGTAAAAATCGCGTCTTGTGTGCGTTCCTCGCGTTGGAATCGCCGAGCCCGTTTCTCTGCTCCGGCGGGGCAGCGGGCGGCCGGGGTCCTCCCGGCGCCTGCGGGCGAGCGCGGTGCTTCCCCGCCGCTGCTGCTGGCTTCCCCGGTGGCGCCCGCCTCGCCGGTCCTGGGAGCCGGTGTTGGGCCCTCGCTCCCCGCAGCGCCGTGCTCCCCGTCAGCGCTAAGACATCCGCCTTTCCCAGAGGGAAGACCTCGGTTTCCGTGGCGCCCCTGGTGTTTCATTTCTGTCTTTTATGTACCCAGTTCTGACAAGCCCGTCATTTGGTTCAAAGGATTCATGGGGGATGCTGCTCCACACCTCTCCCCGCTTTGCGAACAAGTGTCTTGGGATACAACCAAGGGCCAGCCGTGTCCCCGGTCTCGGGGTGGGGGTGGGGGGTAGGCAAGTGTCTTCATCGCGGGGAAGGGGGGCTGAAGTGTCCGGGTGTGGGGGCTGAGGGTCCCCAGGGGACAGGGGACAGAGGCGTGGGCCTGGGGCCGCAGCCAGGGCCTTGTGCTGCGGAGGGCTCGCCCAGCAGAGGCCAGACTCCAGGGCCCTGCCTTTCATCTGTGGTTTTCTGGCTGTATTTCTTTCCCCCAACTTGTCCCGCATAGTGGTCTATTCAGATATATTGCGTGCACTTAATCCTACTCCGCCGGGGGGGTGGGGGGTTACACAGGGTGGAAGCATTGCACAGGTGAGTTTGTGTTAGTCGGTTTGCTCTGCTCGGGATTGAACCCCAGCATGCACTATGCACTTTGCACCTCCCTGGTCCCCCACAGTCCCTTGGGTTTGTCAGGGTCAACAGCCCGGACCAGATGTAACCTTGCAGAACATGCTTATCTTTCCGGTCTATACCGTCTCACCCACTGTTCCTTTTTCAAGCGGCCTGTGTTATTTAGTCTCTTCCAGTGTCTGGGGGTAGCGGTCTTCCCTGCTGGGGACCCAACTCCAAACCCTAGGCTTCTGGTTCCGGGCCCTCGGACAGTGGGTCACATTCGCACGGGTGCTGGGCTGTCGACGCTGTTCCAGGATCCTTTTCGATCCCTGACTTGGCAGCCTTCAAAGATCCTCAGGTCCACCTTGTCTGGATCTCCTTGGACTGACCGGGGAGCCCTGCCCTGCTGCCCCCATGAGGCCTTTGTCCCTCTTTGTCCCATCCTGTTGTTGAACCCCTTGCTAAAGTCCATCTTCTCTGGCCTGGCTGGTGAAGTTGGAAATCTGTCTTGGTTCTTTATATGGCAAGTGCAGAACAGACTCGATTCCTCCTGGAAATTAACATGGCCCACCCAGTGCTGGGGCGCTATGCTCAGTGATCAGGCCCTGCAGGAGTCTCTGAGTCCCCAGGTGTATTGGGATTCTCTGGCCGGTGCTCTGTGCACCTGGGGGACCCCTGAGCCTCACCTGGACCTCCGTGGACCTCAGAATGACTGGAGAGGATGCCCTCGTGCTTCTCTCAGCCCAAAGACCCTCTGAGGTCAGCCCCACAGACAAGCACGTGGCATTTGTACCCCTCTCCTGGGGAGGAAAGGACAGCACCTGCTACCCCCAACCCATCTGCTGGAAGCCAGTCCCCCACGTCTCCTCAGTGAGCGGCTGCGGGGTCTCCCCTCCCAGCACCAAGGTTACCTCCCCACAGGGTCCCAGGTGTGCTTTCACAAAACTCATCTGTGTTTTAAAGTCGACTCTTAGCAACTTCCATAGCATGTTGAACATATTTGACCCCATATTTGATCACTCCTAGACTCACACTGGTTCTTTTTTGGGGGCGGGTTAATTCGTTTTGTCCATTTGTTTATGTATTATGGAGGTACTGGGGATTGAACCCAGGACCTTGTGCATGCTAATCACGCGCTCTAGCACTGAGCTACACCCTCCTAGCTTACGTTCATTCTTTAGGATACAGAGCCTCAGGAAAACTTGCTCTCCGGGGTCTTTGGCAAAGAATAGACGGCCCCCAGCCTCCTATAGAATTCCAGTGCTCAGGGACGTGTCTCCATGTCCAGACTCACAGGTGTCTGTCTGCTGGCTGCTCTCAGCCCCGCTGTTGTCTTTGCTTTCCTTGCTCTCCTGGACAGAGCCATCCCGGGGTATGCGTCTGCACTTGTGCGGTCCCTCTCAGAACTCATCTCTCACAGGTGAGGTCTATGTGCACGATGCATCAGTCCGGTGCGTTCCTAGTACGATGACATTCGCACATAGATTTTCTTAAACTCCTGTATTTTCATCATAATCATTATCCTAAAGTGAAAGTGGGAAGGCAAATTAAAGGTCGTTAAGGTCATTAGCCATTCAGTGTTTTGCTTTATGTAAAGCTATAAAGATAATGGATGCGAAAGTGCTTCATAACATACCATTCGAGTTACCATTTCAGTTACTCCTGTATTATTGCTTTTTCATAAATGTGCCAGGTAAAATTAAAAAGTATGCTGTCCTCAGGATTCTAATTATGCTTTTAACTAGAAATAAGCTTAGCCAGGCCTCCATTATTTCCTTTATAGCTACTTATTTTCTTTATCCTGTAATAGCTGTGGGTTTGTAGGGCGATAGGGCACTGAACACCGAGAAGAGACTTTAAAACTCTTACCCACTTCTCTGACCTTAGGCAGAGCTGCCCTCAAACTATTCAGAAAGATGAAGACACACACAAATGGGAAAAAAAAAGTAGAGTCAATGTTTTCCTGTTTATAAATGCAAGGCATACATCTTTAAAAAGAAGTTCAAATAAAAGCAGACATAGAGAACAAACTTATGGTTACCAGGAGGTAAAAGGGGGTGGGAGGGATAAATTGGGAACTGGAAATTTGCACCTCTTGGGAAGAGATGGAAATAGTTATCTTGATTGTAGTGGTGGTTTCATGGGTGTAGACATCTATCAAAATTCATCAAATTGTACATCTGGAGTATGTGTGGTTTACTGGAACCATATCACAATAAAGGTGCTAAAAAAAAAAGTTCCATATTGTCCCTTCATTCAATATCAGATATTTCTAGTTTAACAACATAAATAACGATCAAAGGTAAAACAAGACAAATAAAAATGGTATTTCTTTTGCTAGTGCTTAGTGTAAAAAGCGTAGATTGTGGTTTGATATTACTGTTCCTAGCGATGGGTTTTCCATCCCCTTTCGCCCTAGTTGCTTCTGCCTACAACCATGATGTTTAGAAAAACACCACTGGAAAATGTTCAAAACAACAAAACAAGAAATTGCAAAGAGTGGGGAGGGTGGAGCGCAGTGGTGGAGCGCATGCTTAGCATGCATGAGGTCCTGGGTTCAATCCCCAGTGCGTCCATTAAATAATAAATAAGTAAACCTAATTACTTCCTCCTCCAAAAAAGAAAAACATGTTCAAAACAACAAAACAAGAATTATAAAGAAAAAAAGCCCAAGCCAATACAGTGACAAAATGTTTTCCATAATATTCTCCTCTAGGTACTAATTCATATACTGATATCTTAAAAATTGTAATGAAATACTCAGCATTCTTCACAAAACATTACATCATAAAGATTTCCATATTTTGACATGCTGCTGGTATCTTTCATTTTAATAAATTCATAATATACTATTCAGCAAATGTACTATTATTGTTTACTTTCTATTATTATATAATAAGACAATAAATATGTTTGGTTACACAGTTTGCTTCAACTGACGTAGTACCTTACTCAAAATTTCTAGAAAGCAATATTTTCAGGACTAGATCTAAAATTTCAAATGACTTTTCTCAATGATTCTCCTAGTTTCTCTACCATCAGGCAGGCATGAGTGTTCTGGCACTAAATGTTTCAGCGATCCGAATTTGTGCGAAGTTTGGAATAGGTGTCTCTGATGTAACTAATCTTTTGGGAATCAAATAAAAGGGGGAAAAAGGTCACCTCAGCTGCTTTTCACATCAGATTATTTAAAAACTTAGATCGATAAACAACAAGGTCCTACTGTATAACATAGGGAACTATCTTCAATAACCTGTAATAACCTATAACGGAAAAGAATCTGAAAAAGAATATATACGAATCACTTTCTTGTACACCAGAAACTAACACAACATTGAATGTTGTAAATCAACTATACTTCAATTTAAAAAAATAAAACATCAGATTATCTTCAGATTATTTGAGAATGACCTAAAGTATTCTGTAAGACGATCAGTTATCAGATTTAGTAAAAGGGCAGTCAGGAGTTGAGAACACTACTCCTTGATGGCTGACTGCCCCGTCAGGACCCCTGCTCTGGAAGCCCACGGATAAAGGTAGGAAAGGAACTCTCTTTTCTGATCTGACTGATGAAAAAATCATCGTGGCTCCAATTATTGACCATAGATAAATTCCCAGTCCTGAGTCCTGGCTCTGAGGCAGCAGAATGTGGGAGGTGCACGGGCCACAGACTCTGAGGACCTGGGTTCAAGTCCCTCCCCTGTGCTAATGTTTGACCTTGGAACCTGCTTATCCGCGTGGTGAGAAAAGCAGGCTCTGTCTGCCAAGGCTCTGCAGACGATGCGAAGAGAATTCACTCCAAAGGGTAATGAAGGGCCTCCTTGATGTGAATCCCTCTTTCTTTCCTCTCCAATCTGGGCTCCACCTTTTTCGCCCCACCCACCATGGACTCCCTAGCCCACCGGCTGTTTTTCTGTTTCTGGATCTCTGCTTTTTCTAGTTTGTCCATCCCATGCTTGTTCCTCAAATCTCTACGTTCCTACTGAAGACCCGGGTAGGAGGCCCTTCCAGATTGCTTGCCCCGACGGAAACCAACTTCTCTCCCCAGCCACCATCTGCCTCCCGGACTCGCCGTATGTGAGGCTGCATCCAGGCATCACCGGTCCCTTATGCTTCATCACCTCCCACGATGTAAGTGCGTTTGTATCATTGGTTTTATTTAATTCTATCCTGTTAGACTGTGTGCTTTGTTCTCCTGCTCTTCCTTTATTTTTAAAATTTTTTATTATTTATTATTATTATTTTTAATGGAGGTGCTGGGGATTGAACCCAGGACCTCGTGCATGCTGAGCTACACCCTCCCCCCTTCTGCCTCTATTCCTTCCGTTTTATATGCAGTGACACTACACTGAGCATATCCACCGACAACAGAATTGGAAGACTGTAGATTTTCCCCTAACTTCCAAACTGGCACACAGAAATCTCAAAAAACAAACGCAATGAATGAGTTTTAAGAAAGGGAGGGGGGTAAAAAAACACCTAACTTGCGCCTAAACCTGTCTGTTTTGGGATGGA